ATAGGGTGGGAACTGTTAGCTCCGGATAAATTTATTTGAGTAATATAGAAATTTTATTAATATTGCCCAATAAAATTATAACGTTGACGCATTTAAAAAGAAAAGTTCATATAAACTCTTGTACTTGTACGTGCCCTTACTTTTCTGCTGCGGGCACGCAAAATTTATATTCAACCAATTTGAAATATACCGTAGATTCATGTATATTACCGGAATATTTGTTTTGAACATACTAGGTATATTCACCTGCACATATACACAATAGGTACATACCTGGCATGTTCATCTGCACATATACCCAATATGTACATATATGTACATACCTAGGATATACTTTTTATGAACTTTGATGAATATACATGCATGCATACTCCACGAACATTCATGTTAGGAAGGTTCAACCATGTATATTCCCGGGATATTCCCGTAATGTTCTGTATATTTTTTGAACATTCGGGGATATTCATAGAATATCAAATGCTATCTGGGAAGTGTTCTTAATTAAACAGCATTAAACTTCTTATTTTGGACGAGATTTGGTAGCATGGAAACACGACACTTCCTGATCGTTGTTTTTATTGTTTAACTTAAAAAAAATCGGCTTTTTCAACAAGGTGGGACCCGGAAAGACGCAGCTGGCAATACGTAGCTCCTATGCAGATTCAGCGATGTTCAGCCGGAGTGGCTGTGCTCAAAGACCGACTATACGTGGTAGGAGGACGCGATGGAGCTAGTTGTTTGCGTACAGTCGAGTGTTATGACCCATATACCAATAAATGGGCATTGGCTGCTCCTCTGGCCAGACGCAAAGGATGTGTTGGTGTGGCCACTGCCAATGGATACTTGTACGTTATGGGCGGGCAGGATGCGCCAGCCAACAATCCTACCACTTCCAGGTAAGGGTTTCTAGGCATTTCGATGATTTGCAAGTAGATGTGGTTTGGAAAGCTTGTAACTGCCAAGATGTGCATTTTTCACGAAATCATTCCAGGTTTGATTGTGTGGAGAGATACGATCCGTCCACCGATACGTGGACAACCGTGAGCAATCTCTCCAGCAAGCGAGATGCGATTGCTTGCACCCAGTTTGGAGACAAGTTGTATTCGGTGGGAGGATATGATGGAAATACGTATCTGAAAAATGTTGAAGCTTATGATCCGATCACTAATGATTGGATTGCTTTGACGCCGCTCAATACTGGACGAGCTGGCGCTTGTGCTATTGCAGTCTCAAATCAAACTTCCTAGCAAGGGCTTTGTCGAGATATCGCCGGAATTGAGAGGATAAAAATCTGGGAGGGTAGGAAATGAGGGTTATCTCGTATTCATTGAATTACTAGATATTTTGGCTATTAAATAGTTTCCTTTTCAACTAGGTTTATACAACATAATGTAAGGTTTTGAACACAATATTTCTACATAAGACTGAGAAAGGCAGCATTTATTTTAATACCTTGCAAGTTTATAAGACTGATCAGGTCGGGTTAGTATCGAATTCCTTTTTTGGCTGTAACTATTGTAATTGATTGATGCTGATTTATTGCAGGAACTCTGAAATTTCCTTTTTTTGGAAAATATACCAAACATCCTGCATAATAATTTAAATTCAAAATTGCTTTGAGATTGAATTTATTTGTTGGCTTTAAGTGTCGTGGTCGGGCGTCTTACTAATATTTTATACTGGGTGATTGGAGGTAAGTCGATGCATTTTTCTGGATGTTGCACTGCTGTTCCGGAGAGTTTTCCATTCCAAATCCGCATTTAAATAAGAATTTGAATTTGCTATTGCGCAAACAGCTTGGGGTTTTCTATAAGATTTTACAGGGTTTGGCATTTAACAACATTTTTTTAAAGCGTTACTCATTTTTATAGAAGAAAATAATCCAACACCCTTGGAAGAAATGCATCAATTTGTCAAACACTCTTTATTGTAATCTCGTATATTATTTACATCTTACAGGAATTATTTATCTTGCTTAATTATACAGTGTTTTTTCGTACTTTAGCTCGTTTCCTCATGTAACAGTAGGATTAATGAAACGATCTTCAAGATTGCGGAAGATATAAACGTGTAGCAAAATTCTGTGATAGTGATTAATCAAGCGCAATGTGTATAATCATTTAGATTTAATGAGTGTAAATATATAAAATCTTTTATTGTTTTTTATTTCGCATTTAATGTACTGTGGTAGATTCGACTGGCTTTGTGAAATGCGGATCAATTAGTTTTTTAAGTACTAAATGTGTTTTTAAAGATGTATGAGTTTTCATTCGATATACCCCCCTTAATATCCCCTATGCAAAAGTACGCAACAAACTGATTTGACTGCATGAATGAAATTTAAATTAAAAAATTAATATTGAATTTCCAACTGCAGGCTTTTCTAATTATTCTACTATCTATCTATTATTAAGAGTTATTTTTTATGGTAAAATGCCAATTTAAAAAAGAAATTAAAGACAACGCCAAAAACTGGCACATATTTACCCCTAATCTGAATAATTGCAAGATATTTTCACTCATTCACTATTTTGGAAGATGTGTATGTTTTCGAATGTGCGTTTTCCGTTTTATTTAAATATTAGCGTCAATGACGTCACAGTTTTCCACTATGTTCCTACGAGAACTTCGTGGTGGACATTGACATGTTTTGTTATTAAGGTTAGGTCGCTTTTATAGTTTGTTTATTTATTAGAAAAATTCGAAAAATATGAGCGAAAATTCAAAAATATGCTGTATTTGTCTACAAGAATGTATGTACCTGCTCACTTTGAGTGAAGATGGTTTTAGTGAAAGCATTAGGAATATTGAGAAATTGCAGGCTTGCCTTCCCAACCAGGTAAGAGTTTTGTCACCTTTTTCGAATTAATTGCTTTATACAAAAGGTTTATGCAAAAGTTAGAGTTATTTGAATAAATTCTCGATGATTCATGATCTTTTTGAAAGCAAAACTCTGTAATTCCTGCTTGAACTGGATTATTTGCAAGTTTAATTAGGTACTACTTTGATAATTTTTTTTACACTACCTTTTCTGATTAATTTGCATTTTCCTGTAGCATTGGGAGGCAATTTTCAACATTTGCCATGAGTGCATTAGTAAACTGGACAGTGCATACAGCTTCATCCAGTTGTGCTTAAGAAGCGAGGAATATAGAACTCTCCAAATCCAGAAGTTGACTTGTCCAGCTGATATCGAGTCTGAATTTACATGTTATGAATGCAACAAATCATTTAGGTAATTTCAATGGAAGCTTCCTATATCAGGCATTAAAAATGTACACTTTCAGATTAAAGAGAACGTTGAGTTTGCATATAACCAGGATTCACACCAACCCAAAAAAGAATTCGAAAAGAAAACTTTCAACGCTCACCGAACAAACAGAGGCGCACGGTGTGGAGGATAATAAGTATAATGTGAAAGCAGAGGAAGCAGGGAATGACATAAAATTTGAGCTTGAAACCGCAGTAAAGACTGACGATAATTTTAAAACCGAATCAATACCTCACGCTGCCCAGACTGATAGTGATTTTGACGATTTCAACGACTTTAACAACTACTCTAGCGATGAAAACGTGGTCGTTAAAGAGAAGAAATTGTATACAGGCAAGAAAAGGGGCCCAAAACTCAAAGCTCCACAAAAGTGCCAATATTGCGAGTTGGAGTTCACTAGATCAGACAGATACGTGCACCATGTAAGGTCAAAACACACATTTGAAAAGCCATTCAAATGCGACATTTGTGATGCTAAGTACGTTACGTTTTTGCTGGTGGAAGTGAAAGTTTATTACCTTTTTTCTCAGGTATTACAGCCAACATAATCTTAATATTCATCTGCGGAAGCATCGAAATGAGAAGCCATTTGTTTGCTCGGTTTGCGGGAAATGCTTCATATCTTCGAACGACTTGTGGCAACATAACAAGATCCATGATGAAGTCAGACAGTATGCCTGTGATGAATGTGAGAAAAGCTTTAAGACTCATAGTAACTTAAGGTAAGTCATTTGGATAGCAGTTTTGGAACTTATTTCCTTGACTTGGTTGCAAAGCAGAAGTGTGATTTAAACATTCACCTTTAAGTCAGCAATCTCTTAAATATTTGTTTGACTAAGATGCCTGGTGTAGATTTATCGAAAAATCACTAGTAATTTAGAGTCATATAGAACAAGCTAGAAATATATTGTTCCAGAACGCATAAGCTACAAATGCACCAAGATCCAGGCATGTGGAAGTACGTTTGCACTGTTTGTGGCAAAAAATTCCCCTTGAACAACAACCTTATTAAGCACATGAGGCGACATGAAGGTTGGTTGAAGTTATTAAAACTACTTTCACCACTTGGTTTTCTCCCAATTGCTTTCAGGCATAAAAGACTTCGAGTGCCATTTATGCGAAAAAAAATTTGTGGAAAAAATCGACCTACAATCGCATCTTCTAAGCCATTCCAACGAGCGCAATTTTAAATGCCATGTCTGCTTCAAGCAGTACAAGAAGCGAGAGACGTTGAGACGGCATTTGAAGATTGAGCACAATTTAGGCAATTTTGTGGTGAAAAAGCCGGAAAAAAAGCTGGGCTGTCCAATGTGTCCGAAGATTTTTGCGTTTAAAAACAAGTTGCAACGACACATTTTAACGCACACCGGCGAAAAACCGTATAAATGTACAGTGTGCGACAAGAGATTTCGTGATAATTATGATAGAAATACCCATCTTAGGCAGGTGCATAATATCGAACCCAAGGATGGTCCTAAGATGGATATTGAGTAATTGTTGAATTTATCCAACACAACGTGCAGTGTATTTCTGGAAGTTTTCAGGCTAATTGACGTGTTTTATGGACTGGTTTTGGGTGCTAATCGTCAGAAAACGCGTAAAATATAAATGCCTGAAAGTGTTCATTTAAAAAAAAATACGGAAATTGTACTTTCTATATTTTTTTATCTGTACGTACATGTAACGTGCTGATCGATTTCCTACATACACATTAGGTAGGTTTTTGTCGATTTTTTTACATTCTCAAAGTATTTGACTAGCGATTGAGGCTCAGTGGAAAAATTGGTCTTGAATTTCACGGTTTTTTTTACAGTATTCACACTTGAACATTGACGGGTAAGACAGATTTAATTTAGAAATTCAGAATCAAAAAAGCTGGACAAAAGTATTGTGCAATCTTGAGCAGAGCGATTGAGGCTCAATGAGTGAATAAATTGGAAAATTAGTCGCTATTTTGCCGAACTTTAGAGAAGTTTCCATTTAGACACCGATGTTTAACATAATTTTGCTTTGAAAAATCGTAACTCGAAAACCAAACACGCTGTTAGCTTTGGAGACGAATCGCGATTTTTCTCTAATTTTAACAAAATGCATCATAGATTTAATTCAAAAATGTATAATTCAGAATCCAAGCAAATCTAGTCAAGCACTGTGTAGTACACTTTTCAATAGATTTATTGAAGCTCTGTGAGTGAAAAGGTTGCTAAGTTATCGGCGATTCTCAGCCTCAAGAGAGAGCAATTTAGACTCTCAACTGCTTTTTCCAGCTTATACAGGATGTTTCTGAGTGAGTTGGGAATTTTTAGAATTGTCTTTCTGCATGGAATATACCTTTGCTTCATAGATTATGTTCGAATAACTCTTCAAAGAGAAAAAAAGAAGCGAAAGAAACCAATGCATGAAATGTTACTCAAAATACGTTTTAAAGTATTAAGTCTGTGTGGTTCAACACAGATTGCAGCGCTTTCAACATTTTTGGTACAAGAAGGATCAATATTTTTTAAACATTAACTGAATTCAGGATTAAAACCGTTACTTTTCTCTTATCTATTGTTATACATGCGAATACACAGCATTTTTATTTTATTTTTTTGACAGATATCAGGATGAGGTATTGGGCAAACTACACATAAACATATCTAAAAACATTTAATTTAGTCATCTGTTTGAGTTAATTTTTATTGCACTTTAAACACACCCAAAAGTATTTTTGGAATTCATATTGCAAATTAATTAGAAAACAAAGCAGTAAATAGACAAAACGTAAACTTGAGTAAACTCAACCTGCGTGGAACTAAGTAGTTTTACTCATACTCACGCTCGTACATGCGGATTTAATTGTTTCCGGGATAAGAGTGCATTGTATTTTAAATTGAAGAGAAATGTTAAATATCTCTCAGTTCATATTGTTGTTACATTGTATATTGGCTGTTTTAGTCATGCTCTTACAGCGCGAGTAGAATAACTTATAACTTGTTTAAAAACACTGAGCGAACTTAATCGCTTGATTTTTTAAATTGTGGATCCGTACTCATGAATCGATGACCTGATGCCAACGACATTCCATTAGTGTACTTCTCTCACCTCCAACTGGTTACTCAAACTTACAGGTGATTGAAATAGATACAACTCGGTCCTATTAAGGCTTTATGATATATTATATAAAATCGATTTTTTTACATTTGAAGTAGAGCTAGCTTTAAATTATATATATCTTAGGTATTTACAATAGTATGAAGAATAAATCACCGCAATAATTAATGGTTTTTTTTGGCGTCGTCGATCAGTGATCACGTAACGTTGATCTCTTCGTCGCTATCATTTGAGCTCTCGTAGTCCATTCCATCATAGGTAGAGCTTTGGTATCCTTGGGGAAGGAGGTGAGGATGACTCGATTCTGGTGTGCTGAGCTCCTGGTTGCCCAATTGACGGTCTTCAGGAGAATTAGCCGGAGAAATGTCCTGAAGGAAAATTATTTAAATAAAAATGGAGTGATTGATGATGAGGGATAAAAAGGAAGTTATTTTGCTGATTTATTTTAGAGTGATTTATCTGATATAATTTGATGAACAATTAGTATTAAGATTGAGATTTTTATATGTGAGTATTTGCCTTCATAACAGGGTTCTAAAATAAATATATATTAGTAGTAGTTCGTTCGTACACTTTTTATACTTTGAAGCTTTGATCTCTTCAATAACTTATTTATTTGTTTTGTTTATTGTTTTAAATTATGTTCTTTTATTTCAACACTTTTCAATCGAAGATTTAACTGATATATTATTTATTTATTTTGTGTGTTTGAAAACATGTTTGATCATTCCTCAAGTAAAATTTGGTGCCATTTTGTAATTAGTAAATTGAAAACAAAATTTAATCACATTTATGTTTATGTTTATCTTGTCGCTCATTTCAAAGGCAATCGGATAACGGACTATTTTAAAATAATGGAAAATATTTAGTCAAGTAGAATTTGGGTCTTCAAATGTGAACATTTAAAGTAACTAACGGAAAAAAAATTGTTTACAATTTTTTTCCACACATTAATTAAAGTATTCTCTCTATTCCTTTAAAAGAGTAATTTTGGGTCAAGACTAAAATTGAAAAAGAATTTAAAAACGGCTTCTTAGGCCTGGACGCGGCATTACGTGACTTATTTGGGAAATATGGCTCCAAGAGTCCAAGTAAACCTGTTTAAAAAAGCCTCTATAAAATATACGTTTCTTAATCAGTTTATCGACCTCATCTAAAATATTCTCTTTAGAAGACTTACTGACGATAGAAGTTTTCATTGCGATGTTAAGCTATAAAAGTTAACTGGATCCTTTTTGCTTCAAACATGTTATTCCCCTTTTTACTTGAAAAACGAGATCTACAGAGTGTTGGGTTTTTACCTGCACATCTGATAAGTCCAACTTCGGTCTGTCCCCATCGGCGTCGCTTAAATCAGGATGGGGATTATTCTTGTTGGGCAGAGTTTGCTCCCGTGACCCCCCCGCTGCCAGAAGCTCCCTCTCTTTGGAATTCCGCCACTTCATTCTCCTATTTTGAAACCAGATCTTCACCTAAAAATCCCACTTTTTAATAAATAGTTTTCTGCGTTGGGTGTTCTTGTAACAAATCCATGCACAGGCAATAAAATAATCGCTCGACAATCAACATTCCTGCACAGTCCGACAATTCGCGTGGCTGAATTCGTTTTTCAACCCCCCGTCAAGAGGGCGCACGCCACCCAGTTCCCTAAAGGGTGGAGGGGCGAGCGCCGCTCTCCTATTGGCCGTCGCGCTTTCTTACATTGTCTTAAACCCCGCCCCGCGCCCTCAATGGTAATGGGGTGATTCCAACCCCCCGGAGCTCCTTAAATACTCGTTTAAATAGGCGCCTTTGCGATTAAAATCTAATTTTATAGTAGTTTAGCCAGATTGCGACTGAGTTGATTGTTTAATACGATTGGGGCTCGTGGTGGGGATGGGAAGGAAGGGAAGGGTTTACTTTCGAGCACGGTGCATTTGGAAAAATGGGGCTCGAGGATTAGTYTTTTTTAATGGAAAAACTTGCACTTGTTCCAGGAAATGATTTATAGGTATAGTCTTTATATTTTTGCTCTTTTGTACTTCTATATGTCGGCTCTGGGTGCAAATTAGTGTGTTTTATACCGTTTTTCTGACAGCATAAATTCCGAAGGCGATTTGGAATTGATTCGTCAAATAGACTGGAARRGAGGTTTGAAAGTGTTACAAGTTTGACTCAATGGAACATGCTTGTGAATTTTCTTCTCACTTGCAAAATGTGCCATCGGTTTAACAATTTAATAGGGGAAAGTTAACACTAATAGAAAAAAGTTTGCCAGGATCTTGAAACTCGGTTAAAATATATTCTTCAATTGAATACATTTTGAAAATTTTTGTATCTTTTTTTCGTCGTTTTCAACTAGTCCTTTCTCTTGTCTATATTGGGCTTTTCTCATTAGATTGTTAACTTTTTTAATGAGTTATTCTGGGAGTGAATGTACTATTTATTAATATATATAATCATTCCATCTTGATGTATATTCAATTTTTTTGCGAATAATACTTGAAATAGAAGTGATATTTTTTTAGAGTGCAATTAATAATATAACTTTTCTGCATTATCGATTTTTCAAATCAATTTATACAGAATTAAAAAAATATATATTCACTGTGATACACCATCTAAAAATCATCTCTGATACGGAAATAATCCGCAATTTGCAAAGTCCCAGTCAAGAAGGGCGTTTTTGCTTTATATTTTTTCGATTGATGTTCGGCGAACTTTCAACGAAAAAAAAGTTAAGAAAAAATTTTGTCGTCATTGAACTCGATTTTCACAGACGGCTTGTTCAATATAGACACTTTTTTGTCTCTTGGAGTTTTTCATGCTAGCCACTGATTTACAGTTATTTGCAAAATAATGTATTAATGTATGCTAATAATTTTTACTTTTGTTCTTATTCTGAATGGGTATTCTGTCAATAAAGCGAAGTCGGCTTTTGAAATTGGATTTTTACAAAGTTTTTGCTATCACAACTGCGTATCAACTTGTTATTTTGCGATCACCAATTTGTTATTTTCCGTTTAAATCCTCTATAAGGAAACATAAAGTTTTGAGGCGCAAGAACAAAAAAAACAGTTAAATTTAATTTGACTTAAACTAGTTAAATTTAATTTGCCCTTTCCTTCGTCTGAAATGTTTTTATCAATAAAGCAAATTTGTCCTTTGAGATTGGCGGTTTTTATACGGTATTAAACAATTACAGAAATTCCAACGTTTCGCCTGTCTCTGCAGGGAACGTTTTCTAGGGTTTTTAAGTATGGGAAGTGTTGTGTCAAACAGCAGCAGCTTGACGATTTTTCACATAAAGTAACAATCGTAGAATAAGATTCTTCGTAGAACAAGTTCAAAAAATGTGCAATAAAAAGTTTGCATTTGTTGCGTTGAAACAGCAGACGGTTTTATTAAGTGCAAATAAAACTTGGAAAGAAAATATAAGATAATTCCCAGGTAATACTTTGCTCAAATATTAAGTAGGTATGGAATTATTCACAACTTTCAACGGTACGATCGCGCTCATCAAGATCCCTTTCGATTTTCTCCAATCCATGCTTCACATACCTTAATAATTAATTGTATATACTTTCCTGACTGTGTATCAATTCCAAATCAAATTCATTCCTGGGTTTCAGTCATTTATTGCAGAAAATGCATGCTTAAAGCAGCAACAAAGCTACACATAAAAACTGATGATGGTGGAAAAATACACCGAAACGTATTTTGATTGATAAATAGAGACAATAAATGACTAAAACCCAGGAATGAATTTGATTTGGACTTAATAATTAAGCAAATTATTATTTCGAAGTTTATTTGCCAAATAATCAAACCTTTTGCTTAGCTTCAACGCAACAAAAGCAAACTTTTATTGCCCATTATATAACCTTTTGTTATTCCTTATCTTATTCCTAAAATTGTTGCATTCTGGGAAAAACCGTCAAGCCCCTTGCTATCCAACAACTCCTCCAATACCGTACAACCCCTGAAAATGTTCCCTGGAGAGGCGGGCGAAACGTTAAGATATTTATGCAATTGTTTAATGCCGTATAAAAGTTGTCGATCTCATTGTGGGTTAAACCACATGATCCGATTACATAACTTAGGAGCGAATGTACTGTCAGCAACACAGCTCAGCTACACAAAGGCAGCACTTGAAAGAGGCACGTGCACCCAATAGAAATTATTATGCGCCCTTAAAGGGAAATTGTCGTTGGCCGGTCCTTAAATAAAGATCGATAAAGTGCAGATATTTCTCGGGGTAAAATCAGTTTGGTTTGCGGCAATCCGGATGTGGCATTAAATCAATCAATCGTAAAGTTTTTCTTTAGAAAAATCAATCAATTTCGGCCTCAATTTTCAGTTTTCAAATAGAACGCACGCGTTTGATCTTGGTTTGAATTTTGCGGTGTGTTTTAGATCATTACCTTATTATTACAATTTAAAAAATTCACAGTAAAAAATGCAAAAATTCGGTCTAAAGTGTTTTAAATACTGCGGTTGAAAATGTAATGCCATTATAGAAAAATTCTGTATTAATTTTGTTTAATTAGTGGGTTTCTGAATAATGAGAGCGTGAGGAACCTTTATGTCGCTGCAGCTTTTTGTCGCTACGGAAAAATTATTTTGGTCTGCTTTGCGCTCTCGACTTTGGCTCAGTTTTTGAGGCGTGCCGATTTTTGGTCTTTGTATGTAGTTTTTTCCATAACAATTATTTTGCGTCCAACTTTTCCATTTGGTTACATTTTCCATATGACTTCGTAATGAAAGATCAAGCTAGTAGGCCCCCCCGTTTAGAGAGTTAATGTACGGAATAACCGAAGAGAATTTTTGGTAGCTAGAGATAGAGACGAAACGCGCGAGAGAGGGAAAGCTCCCACACCCTTGTTAGTGCCTATCAAAAACATATGTTGCCTATCTAACGCACTGGATAATAACGGTGGAGACTTTCGGGGGAGGCCGTTTTGGAGGCAAAGAGGCCTTCCGAGTGACGCGCAATCGATCAGCACAAGAAATATGATACACCGTCTTCTATTGAAACCCCTCGTATTATTTTCGCTCTTAGTGAACGATGGCTTTCAAAGTTTATTGAAAGGCCGACGACTTTTCCACAGAGATAATTTTATTCGGTTGATTTTGCCCGATAAAGATTCTATAAATACGCATGAAAGTTTGAAGCACTCGACGCGAATTGATTTCGATTTCGAGCATTGAACCAAAATAAGTTCACATTTAAGGAAAATGTGCAAGTGCGTGTCTCATTTCCTAAAATATGTTTGCTAGTATTATATTTTTATTATAACAGCATTAAATTAAGCTAGGTAACAAAACATTGTTTTGTAATTTCAGAATACTGAAGCCAGATTTTAAATAAATATTTCTTTTTGCATTTTTTTGCAAATTCTTTTCATTTACAATTTTAACTGCGTTTTATGTGATGTTTCATTACAAAGCGGGTTGTGGATTTTCTGCATATTGTCCACAAAAGGGAATTTGGGGATTCAGATCTGGAGGGCGGGATGGCCAAACTATTGTCCCAAACGTTCCCATCCCCAGATTTTAAGCTTGAATATTTGTATGCAAAACTTGCCTCTTGCGTATTTCCCAGCTTTTATCGTACCCAATTAAATGATTCGTTCTAAGGAAATTTACTGGATTCCAAAGCGAATTTTTTGCATGAATTGTTCTCATTTTATCCTCCAGGTTTGATGTTCTATGTGAATTGTATCCGTTTATTTCGTATATTCCGTTTATTTTGTATATATTTGTATTTTTTGTCTTCATTATTTAACTTTTTTTATAGCTGTATAATACATATTCTCTTTTTAGATTGTTTCAATGCGCTGTTAGTTTATAAAGCGATGTGTGGATTTGAGGTTTTTTTTTACAGAAAAAAGGAAATTTGTTGGTTCAGATATTTTGGCTTAAATGTTCTCATTTTCCTCTCTATGGAACACAATTTTTGATTTAATGTTCTCATGTGAATTGTAGGAACTTTCAGTTTCTATTAGTAGATTTTTAGTATATCTGTTGATATTCTGTAATTTGCTCTTCTTATTCTTCAACTTTTCTTATATGTATAAGCACCTTCATATTTTTACACTTGAACTTATTATTTAAATTTATTTTCAAGAAGTTTTTATTAAGCCTTTAGTCTAGATTTAGTATTTTTTATCTGAACATATGTTTCTATAATCTGTCTGCACCGTCCATTCTTTGTAGTTTTTTCATTTCTTTTACTTGAATATTATTCCACTTCTTGTGTATTTCGATTTTTTATTGTTGGTATTACATTAAAGCGCAGAAATCCATGTTTTTCAAAAAAAAAACAGAAAAAAACTAAAGTTAGATTTAATAAAAAGTAAGTCTGAAAAGACATTTAAAATCGTTATTATTTTTATGAAATTTGTACTAATTTTAGAAAAAAATATTATAAGTTTTAACCTAGTTTCAGTTTTATAATTATTCATCACTGCAAAAAATCCGTCTACATACAGAGCTTGTAAATTAATTTTTCCAATGTTTCGCTACAAAACGCGTATTGTCAAAGTCTGGAAATTTACTTGATTAAATTTATATTAATTATTTGTTCTGCTTTAATATACAATTCAGCAGGAGTCGATAATATGTTATATAAAACAATGTGAGAAAATAACAAGTAATCTAAAAGTCTCGAAGCAAACAGAGGGTTTAATTAAAAAATCAAATTACTTTGATGTCGCTCATTTTGTTCTTTGCTCGATTTTACGAATGATTTTCATTTTTAGTTGGTCATAATTTTTAGGTGAATTTTCCTGCTTAACATTTGTCTGCCTTTAACAACCGCATCAAGTTGCATGTTTCAAAAAAGTTCAATTAGATATTATTTTTTTCTTGGCTATGAAAGGTAGAGGTAGAAAGAATATGCGAGATGATGATGAATAATCACAGAGATTATCGCTTCAAAATAACCTCACAAACATGATTTTTTACTGTTTGAAGCAGTTTTTTTAGTCCTTTTTGTCCGAAAATTTTCCATTGTTGGATTTTTCTTGTTCCCATTAATTCTTTAATGATTGATTAACTCAATCATTTGTTCATGTTTATTTGAACCATTTTTCAGTTCTTGTCATCCAATATTTTAAAAGAACGGAAGAACGTTCTTTTAAAATATCGATCCCATCATTTAAAAAACTAAATTTTTCGTTTAGCAACAGTTTAGTTGTTTAGGAAAGAAGTTTATGAACTACTCTGCGAACATGAATGCGGTTTTTCTAGTTGCGTCGTTAGATCCGGCTCGAAGGACCAAAACTCCTCATTAATTGCAGTTTTCTGACCATCAAAATAGCAAATAAAATGTTGTAAAACTTTTGTGTTCATCTAATGCAAATTTTAGTGTTCATCTAATGCAAAAGGACTTGTGCGATGTTTGTATGAAAACGGCTCGTCGTCATGTATCGTAGGCCCTATTTCCCATTTCACCCTCTGAGCTAAACGGCTCAAGATATATTACTTTGTGTTTAGTATACAAATCACAAACACACTTGTAAATTGCCGTAAAATCGCAGGCCCGATTATATTGTCGGGAATAAAAGAAACGTCAGCGCCAGAAGTCGCCGATTTCGGTCAAATAAATTATATTATCTGCGAGGGGAGCGAACAGATGATGCTTTCTTATTTATAAGAGACGATTTTATCCCTATCACGGTTTTTTGATTGATTGTTTCAATTTTCAATCGGAAACTTATTCATTTATTTAAAATGAAAACGAAAACTGCTCTTTACGGGTGAGTTTTTGTATTTACCTGACTATCTTTTAGGCCCAGTTTTTCGGCTAGTTTTTTCCTGTCGGGTTTGCTAATGTATTTCTGGATTTGGAATCTCCTTTCCAGTCCCTTTCGTTGCAAGTCGCTAAAGACGGCTCTTCGCATCATGCCTCTCCTGGGTTTTCCTCGTCCACTGTGTGCCCATGGAAATGTACCCGGTAGCGGAAAAACTGCCGATTGAGTACCAGAAACAGGAGTTGACACTATAAATGTATGATCTAAATTAAATCAGAATTATTCGTTTTTGGCACATAAATTGGCAGTAACAAGCTAAAGCAACAAATTTAAACTGCAATGATTTATACCTCTTTATAATATTTGTTTTTAATGTTTTTAGAACACATATTTTGAATTTGTGTTAAGTTTTCACCGATAGCGCTTTTTCGCAAAATTTATTCCAGATTGAAATCAGGCAGATCTGGCAGGAACATGAAAGCCCATTTATAATAATTAATCTTTATTCTTCGAATTGACAAACAAACTCAAACAAACTCAAACGAACACAAACAAACCCAAGCAAACCGAAACTAATACAAAGGAACTCTTGATTACTTTAGTTTAATACCAGTTTTGATTTCTGCTGTTGGTCACATTTGCTTAAATTGACGTTTTCCACTAAGCGCAAATTTGCCTCTAATGTCACTGTCACTTAGCGGTTTTCTTATATTCGCTTGAGCGCAATTTTGGATAAAAATGAGTCGAAATATTGAAAATATCGTAAATATTCTCGTTTTCTGAAGCCCTGCAGCTAACTATTATAAGTAAGTAGACAAATATATAACTGGTTAGAATACTACAAAGAAAAATAATAAAAAATGAGCACGTTTCATGAACTTCGGCCAAAAATACTTTTATCTGTTCCACATTGACTAAAGTCGGTTTTAACAATAAAAATATTGTTATTTTCTTATATCCGTTTCGGATATTCTTGTTTTTGATAGAATATGCATAAGGAACAACTATACTTTTATGCATGAAATTGCAAAAATTCTGTCACATTCCTTCGTAGCGTATTTTTTAGTTTTTTTCCTAAATTTTGTTATAAATAGCCATACTGCAAAAGCATTTTCTTTTTTTTATTTTTCAAATTTTTTAAATTATTTCTAATTCAATTTATCTGTCAAATTTAGTAAATATAATGAATTCTGTCAAGTGTATCTTGTGAAACATTTAATGGAATTTTTGTGAACATTTACTAAGAGAGTGCAAACTAACAAAAAATTGCTAAAAAACCTACATAAGTAGTAGAATTTTGGTAGAATTATTAGTGACAGATTTGGGTTCGTTAGATGAATGTCAGTTAATTTCTGTTTCTACTGTTGGTCACATGTATGTAATCTGACGTTTTTCTAAATTTATGTCAGTATCATTTGACACTGGAACCAGTTTTAACATCGGCTTAGTTTTATGTAATTTAAGTAGATTTTAGTGAAAAAATAGACTGAAAATGTGTAAACAAGTAAGTGAAACATGATATAAAAGTTTGATCGAGCTGGTTCAAAAGCAATCAAAGTTTGGAAAATTATTTTTCTTTGCCAGAATATAGATAAAAAGGATAAACTTTTGGGCCTGACTGTGTTTTTTATATATTTTTTATCGTAGTCCGAAGTAGATATTATTATTATATTATCTGAGTAATTAAACAGCCAATTTTACAAAAATTTCTGTAACAGAATTAAATTCGAAAACCAAATTAAATTAATTATGATTTCAACATTAGATTTATAGAATTTTTAAACTTAAATATCTATACTTTGATGGTTTGGTCGTTCGACAACTTTGGAATTAATTCTTGAAAAATGTCTGGATTAATCCGTCATTAGATGAGGCAGAAAAAAACCATACATTTTTTGGGCTTACGTTTCGTCGATATCTAAGCCACTTACAGCAGCAATTTGCAATTATTGAAATCGTCTTGCACGCGCTTTAGCCTCAATATGAAATCTACCTAAATTTTCTGAATTTTGAACAACGCGATTGTAAACACTCTGTATTTGCTTTCCGAAACCATAAAAAGTAACGAACGATATATAAATATGCGCTTAACGGATAAATTTATTAGCACTGATTTTCGCATTATACAGAGTGAGATTGAGCCTGGCACAGATTTCATAAACTGAGATTGAGTTTAGTCGAAACAAAGTGTTTGTTTTTAACAGAAAAAATGTTTGGACACAATTTCGAGTTTCAAAAACAAGAAAATCACCATAAGGAACATAAATAAGGATAAGAAACTGCAAAGTTTTGAGTCAAAGCAAAGAGAATAATCCCAAAATTATCAATTAACCAACATTTAAAATGCTACGCACAAGCAAGAGTTTTATGTGCTTGATGTTTTACAAGCAAAAGGAAACTGTATATTTATATGCGTCAAATTTAGTGCTTCTAATATTGAGGAAATTTACCTGTGAGATAGGGTTGAGGTCTACAATGAGCTAAAAGCAGATGAGGGTTGAACTGGGGAGGTCTGCTCGCCACTGGTTTTGCTATGGAGGGTGAGTGGCCTGCACCACCTCCATTTCCTAAGTACGACTGTAAGCCCAAAAGGCTCGGGTGAGTTACATGTATGAGATTCTCTGAAATTAACACAAAAAAGCGTCAGTAAACATACAAAAAAACGAAGTATGATTTCATGCGGTTGTTACTGACTGTTAGACTGGCGGGTTTTTAAATGTGAAGATGCAGGGCATTTGGATTTTATATTTTTCAATTTAAGTATCGCATTTCGACCCTCAACTGTATTCTAGATCTAAACAATATTTACTTAGAATTGCTATTAGAACAAGTCACATTTGTATTTTTTTCTTTAAAAAATTCTCGCAAAACGATGATGTTGAAATTATTATTTCTGTTGTTTTCCTGTTAAAGATTAACCCAAAAATTTCCGATAAATGTTAACAAGTTTTCTTTTTAGATCATTTTATCAATAAAAGAAAAGTACAGAATCCTCCTGTTCAATGGTGCAAAATCTATTGTAAAACATGTTTCATATCAAACGATTTTTTAATATGCTCAGACATTAATAATGTATGGAAACTTTCAAGTTTCGAGTACTTTTAACGTATTTCCGCCCATAAATAAATCCTGAAACTGTTGAAGTTTTTATCCAAAACGTTCCGTAACTTGACGGTGCATGACACACCGCTCTTTTAAGAGTTTCCTTGTAAGAAGTAGCCATTCAATTTAATATCGAGCCCCATATTTCCCCTCAGTCAGCCGCCTCCAACAAAATTTGTGGCGTCAGCTGTGCCTCCACTTAGCTTAAACAGCGGTACTCTTTAATTCTTGTTTTGTTTATCTCGAGCTCGTGGTATAAATATCAGCTCGGTTAGCGACAGCTTTTTGAATTATTTTATTTGTAAAAATGTATGATTTTTAGTATGTTTGTGATATTTGTTTGTCTATGACGCATCTAAACATCTACTTATGGGTGAATCGCAACAAAAGCTTATGCGAGAGACAAAATATTTATTTGTGTGTTTAATTAAGGTGTCGGAACCATTAAATATTGAGTGATTTAAAACAATATTTTTTTGCTTTATATGCACAAATTAATCCTTTTTTCTTGCTTGAAAATATGTGTATATGACTTAAAGCCATCTTTGTGAGTTTAAAGCGATATAACTGAGCCTATTGTGTCATTTATTTTATTTAGAAACTTCCCACTTTTATTATTAGGCGTTTTAATGTATTAATTAATGATTTTCCTTAAAAAGCTATTTGTTCTTTAATTTAATATGCTTGTTTTTCGGAAGAAGCGCTTGTCAACTGCGAATCTAATTTGTTTTTTCGTGGTGTGCACTTTTCTGTAATAAACTGCTCAACAAATTAAACTTTACACTGCCAAATTTGCCCAAATTTTGAAACTGTATAAAATTTTATTGCAGCAAGCGATTTGATTTCTGTTTGGTCTTATTGCCCAATTGTTGAATCTTCCAATTATTCAAGAAAAACCTCAGGCAAAAATAAAATTTGTCGTTTTGCAGAATTTTTGCAAAGAAACCTTCTCTTGACTTCCAAATTAATTTTATTCAACTCTCGCATCCTTGCTATATTGGCGTGACTTTTCATCATCTACATACTGTGAATATTTCAATATTTCGTCAATTTTCGTTATATCAGCAGCACAGACGACATTTCTTCTATCTAGGTTGAAAACTCCCGTTTAATCTCCTGCCTCTGTTTACTTGGCAAACTACACTAAAACTTGTCACGCCCTAAAATGTTCCGTATTTTCTCGCTTCCTGCAAGTGTTAAAGCGGACCTGCCGGCAGCACCCAAGGAGGAAATGGCGTCATACACTTCAACACCTTCGTCAAGTGTATTACGACGCCTCCGCTTCGCTTTCGGCTCTTCGTGCCTCCATTTTCTCTATCCGTTTTCACCTTTTCCATTTTCAAGCGCTATCATGTAAAGTCTAATCAAAAAAAGATGTGTTTATTGAGAAAACAATTCAACAAAATATGATTTTATCCCACTAAACCTCAATATCTCAATTGGAGAATGTCGAAATTTGAATCAGTGCGTATATGAGTAGAACAAGGCCGCACTATAGATGAATGAGTTAGAAAGAGCAAATTTTACACGTCGTATCTTTTCGTCTTTTTCTGCCACTTGGCCACCAGCCTTCTCACACTCGTTGGGTAATTTCAGCGCTTAGTGAAAACAAAGAGTTTTTTAATTAAAATCTCTAAAAAAACAGTGCTAATATCAATGAAAAATAGGATTAGTAGAACTTCTCGAAGGCTTTAGCAAAGTCCCATTTAATCCCAAATAATAAATTGTCTCTTTCCCATTCCCAGCAAAGCCCCTCGCTTTGTACTACTTTTGCATTATGTACGCCCAAAACGCCTTGAAAAAACTAACTGTGGCAGCTTTCACTCCATACAATTGTTGTTGCTTTTTATCATCCCGAATGGTACTATTAAAAAAGCGCAATCCCTTTAATAATAAGAATACATAGACGGGGCTATAAAAATAACACGCCCATTTAACAGTATCAGAACACGAGGGGTTTCTTAAGCCGCACAGTAAATACATCGTAAGGATTAGCCTGGCAAAAAAATCTCTTTGTTTGACCTTCTGTGCTTGGTGGTTTGTAGCTCATTGTTAATAGATAGATACATAATGGGATGTTTTCATAAGGTGTTATAAACAGGGGGTTGTTTCTGGGTGGTTTTCGATCGCCCGATTTAATACTTTGAAATAACATCCTATTGTGCGGTGGCTTTTATATCTGCCATATCTAGAGGAAAATATTAACTGGCCAAAAGTTGCTTTTGAATTAAATTTAGTGTATTTTCTTATTTTAAATTTCACGCATTGAAGCACATTTTGATGATAGCGGAACTTTACTGTTATTATTCTTACAGCTTCAAATGTAAGTTTTTAAAAATTACTTGAATTCTTTGAGATCTTTTGAGCAACAGGAATGAGCTTTTGTATACACTTTTCTACTGTTAATAGGTACTTTTTGGACCTTACTGGAATTTATTAGTCTGATGAAGATTGTAAGCTTGTCGTTTTTGTCCCTAATTTATTCGCCACTGAAAAAAATGCCTTTTCGAAAGCACATTCTGAAGAACCAAAAAATATTTCGAGAAAAATTTATTTTTATGAACAAAAGCTATTTTTTGTTTAGATTTATTCGAAATACAAATACGGAAAACTGGCTATTAATAGTTCTATTGTGTGTACAACTGCTCGCTCATATAGTTCGAACGGTTCCTAAGATAGTGGCAAAAACCTCAAAGGAAATTAAATTTGTGACACCCTGTATCTCGGCACGGTGTCGGCGGTAGCACAGAAATAAAAATGGAAGAGAAAAAGTGTATGTTTTTCTATGAGGAATCTACAGTTTTTCGTTGCGAATTTATTTAGCACCACCCTGTGTATGTAAAGGAGACGATACGAAACTTCACTTGGAAACAAAAGTATATATTTTTTAGAAAAGAAAACAACTTTTAAAAAACTCATCAACCAAAATCTTTTTTGGTTTAGCAACAAGGCTTTTCTGTTTTTCCTACCTTTCTTCATTGAAAATGCAGAGTTTTTAAAAGTGAAAACCATTATGGAAAAACCCTGAGAAGGCGAGAACTTTTGAAACACAAACTTGCATAAATTCAACTGCAATAATTATATTTCAAGAAAAAATACAGTAACTTTTAAAATTTTTCTTCAAATGGTTTTGATTTTATTCCAAGTTTATTTGCGCAGAAACATTTTAAAAATATAAAAAAATCAATCAATGTTCGGAATGAAGAAACCAGTCATACGTACTAGAGAAACATCAGGAGCAAAAATTGTTTGGTTTCCTAGGTATTCTTTAAAAATAAATGTGCCTTCAAGCAAGTAAGCCTGAGATTAAATCGAAATAATTTGTTAAATTTCAAAAAGTACATTATGCAGTTGAATGATTTTCATGTGCCTGTTTATGCAGTTAAATGCCTAGCAAGTTTTGGTTTCAAGAATCTTCATCCTTAGAGATTTTCAAGATTTTTTCAATAATCGTTTTCTCACTTAGACAAGCTATTAAGTAGCTATTTTCGCCTCTATACCTTCTGTTGGGCCTTAAAGCACTAGTTGATTTTTTTAGATTGAACGTTTTTTTTGTTAAAACGCTTATTTAAATTATATTGGAATAAAAACAATAAATATGTGTTCCGCAAGTTGGAAAAAGCTTCAGCTGGCGCGTCCAACGTCACAATCAGCCCTCGAAAGCTCGGGATCGGCTCAGAACCTTAGAAATAATTCGCATTAATTCAAAACCGGGAGCGTTCAGTATGCTAAAGCAACGGAAAACAACGAACAAATTGACATTCGCGAGGGAATAAAACCCGCAAGGGTATTTCCATTTTATTTTCACCGCCGCTCCCATTTTCAAGCATTTCCATACATACATAAGGGAACATTGTGGGACTTTTCGCTTTATTCCGGGCTTCGAGTCAATCCGATTATTATACCTAGATGGGCTTTGATTTTCTCGCATTAAATTGCATGATTCCTTTTTACGCTCAGATTATTGGTAGAGTGTAGAAAAACGGAATCCGAACTATAATAATGGCTGGGAATACCGTGATTATGTGATTTAGGTTCATTTTTAAATTATTTATAGGGTGGCGACGCCGAAATGTGGGTCGTTCTGGTAGATTTAAAGGAAAAAAATGTTTAAACAGATTAATTTTGATATAAAAAGAAGACATCTTGAAACGCGGAAATATATTGAATCTTAACAAGCGCTTTAAAAAAATCTTAGTTAAAATTAAGTAGACAGTAGAAAATGTTACTTTAAATGTAGTCCTAAGTATTAAAAAGAGTATTTTTTCTTCATAAAATAATAAAGAATCTGCTCAAATTGTTTGAATACTGGAAAATATATTTGAATTTATGTGTCGTCATTCATCACCTTTCCGTGTAGTCTATTCTTATTTTAAATCTCAATATTGCAGAAAAATATGCAATGTAAACTGCTCAACAAAGTAAGAAATTAACTGTAAAAGTTCCTCTAAATTTGGAGTGGTATAAATTCTGAATTCTGCAGCCATTTCATTTCAGCTTGAAGCATTATTTAGTTCAATTATTTTCCTGTTAGTTCACGTTTTTGAGAAAATCAAGTTCTGCAGATAAAGATTTTACGAGTTGCAACAATTAGCAATGAAAAATGTTTGTAAGTTTGGAATGCTGACAGTTGAACAAAAAAAAATACGTTTTTCTTTGGATTTCAACACGGAAGACATAAATACAGGCGTCAAATCTCGAAACGATCTAAAAAATTGAACGTGCAATGAAAACATTTTACTCTTACTCTTATACAGGGAGAATTATTTGAAAGAATACTTCATCACTACAGCTGTGGATTTCCAAAATCCACAAAAGTTGGGTCCTAGACAGGGCACGATCGAAGAGTTTGTTTTTTGAGTTATCACTTTGTAAATAATAGGGATAAACCGAAAAATGAAAACCTGTTTCGAGATATCAACTCTATATTTATACGTTTCGTATTGCAATCCGAAATATCTTTTTTGTCAACCGGTAGGAAAACGAACTTTGAAGAAAAGTTTGTTTTCCTTCCAGTTTTTTCCACAAATTTCAAAGCTGCATTCCTATTTCACGAATAAAAAAGTAAGATAAAGTGGGCCTAATCTACGCCAAATCATAGTTCAAATTTTGGATGTAAACGACAATTTGAAATATTTTCCAATAATTTAACAAACATTTGAGGAAAAACAATGCCAATAAAAATCATGGCACATTCAATTTACTGCAAAATTAAACCATGAACTTCATAAATATATTTCACTTTTGAGGCAGAATCCAAACTCATTCTATCTTGTAGATGTTGACTTACTCGCAAGCTCCATATATCAATATAGCACCTGACTGAATTTGCCGCATCCGATAATCATTTCCAGTCTTAGAACAGTTAATTTCATGTGATTTTCGCAAGTTTCCCCTGATATGTTTTGGATGCAACCCAATTTCCCCTCTTTGGCAATTCGGCAATTCATAACGCCGATTTTCGTCGATAATTTCGAGAAACTTTCTGACAAATTGTGGAATTGAAATTGGCTCGATCCGCGCCAGTTTGAGTAATAAACTGGCTGCTGCCAACTCAGTGAACCGGGTTAATCACAATTGTGCCTTTTACAATAATTCGAATGATTATTGAGTTGAAAACTCGCTTATTGAGATTTTTACAGTGGGAACAGTGGTGGAGTTGGCCAGACTTCACAACCTCAAGGAAACTTACCATTTCTTTGGCCGTCTCTTTTTTTGTCCCCCAATATTGCACTAACACTGAATTTCAAAACCGGCTTGCTGTCCTTCATTAACGTCTCACTATTAAGTCGGCACTGCAAATAGTTACAGTCCAATCTGCCACAGTTCGAACAAATTCTGTTCCGTATACAGTGAAACCGGCTCAGAAACTCATTGTGAGCGCGTTCAGCGGGCGAAAGTCTCTCCTCAACGTGGTCGCTGAGCTCGTCTTCCTGTTTGGGGGAATTGGGGCTGTAGCTGTTCCGTTTGTAGTCTGAGTCGGTTAAGTCTTCAGCGCGATTCGACTCGCACTCCAGGTCCATTTCGGGGGTGATTTTTCCATTGGACAGCAGATTGTCCATGGAGAATGGGTTTTGATTGTTGTTGAGGCTTTTCAGCATCTTGGTTCGATGGGTCACGAATTGGAGGGTGTTTTGGAACATCTACAACAAATTAGGGTTTGGCAATTTTAGGGTGCGTTAAAAGGTATCTTTAGAGGTTTGGAGTTGGAAACTTTTTCAGCAGCAACATTTTGTTATATGAAATTAATTTGATTGGGGTTGAAAAATTATCTTGCTACTTGAGTGAAATGGTTTCCTAGTTTTCTTGCAGCTACATTTTTTTTATATGATACGGATTGGTTGAGAATAAAAACTTCTGCTCCTTGAGTGAAATCATTTTTTGGTTATATCTCGAGAACGATTTCAGCTAGAGCGCTTCTTTTTTCCCCTCTGGATAGAGTATTGAAAATAACATTGCCCAGTAGAATTTTTTTTTGTTTTCATTTTCCGCAGTTTTCACGAAAAAGTGAAACACAAACATTGCATAGTTAAGTGCAAGATCAGGCTCTTGTTTTGAAAATGACCCACCTTTCTGCTCATACATCAGGGAGAAATTGAGAAAAGCGTTTATTTCTCCATCGCTGGAGAGAATTGAATAACACTTTCAACAGTTTCAACAGAAAAGGAGAAATTTTAATAATGCACATTTAGATACAAAATATAGACCATCGTTTCAAACATGCCGCTACTTTTTTGCTCATTCTTCAGGAATAAATAGAGCTAAGGCCCTCATTTCTACGCCCCTGGATTGCGAATTGAATAACAGGTTCATCACGTCAAATCACACAAAAATCAAAATTTCAACATTGCAGTTTTAGATTCCAAAATATGAGCAGCGTTTCAAGCCTGACGCCACTTTTTTGATCATTTTTCATGGACAATTTGAGCTAGAACACTAAATAGAGCTTTACATAACACAGTTATCAAGTGGAACAATGCTTGGAATGTATTGTCCGTTTACACAGAAAGCCAAATTTGATCAACATTTCTTCACACCAACGACCGTTATTTTAATTTAAACATCACTAATTTTGCACATTATTTTGACGCTACAAAACTGACATTTCGAGCTCAAGAAAACAACTTTTAAGTTGTAACATTTTAAAAAAAGATTTATAAAATTTATAGTACGTACTTTCCTGACTGTGTTTCAATTCCAAATCAAAATCAATTCCTGGGCTTCAGTCATTTTTTGTCTATTTATCAATTAAAAAATAAAAAAATAATAAAAATACGTTTCGGTGTTTTCCACCATCATCAGTTTCTCTAAAATAACAGATAGTACAAAAAAATGTTTTCATTAATTTAAAAAACAATCAGAGTTTGTCAACAGCTTCATCATATCACACACTAAAATACATCACAATTGCAAC